ATACAGGCCAAAGTAAAACATTAATTTCCTGAATTTCTAGATTACTGACCAATAGCCAGTATTATACTATGTACTTTTGTCAGGTCATTTTAAAATCAATACATTAATTTTATAAAAGAACTTTTTACATGTCACTATCAGGAGCTCACTGTGAATGTGTTATCTTCAAATGGCTATTTAACCACAGAGTACACTACATTTTACATATAAATGCACTTAATCTCTGGGAATAATAAATTATATTATTTATAAATAATACATAGGTCAACAGACTCTAAGCAGGGAGGGAAAGAAGAGTAATAGCATTGTTGTCTGTGTGCCACACACCATACAGAACTTTGTGCTCTTGGTCACATATGTATCCAAGGTTTCATTGTATTCCTAAGAAAATTTCCATTTCAATATTGAGTTCATCTCTTTATTCCAAAAAGTACTTGGCCTCTCAATTTCTTGATTTGGTTTTGCTTCTACTTTGAAACTAATTAAGAAGGGAAAATAATGAGAATGTTCGTACATGAAAATTGTTAATCTCTTTAATTTCTACCTGTTCTAAACATTTAATCCTGTTTCTATAAGTTAAAAGAAATCAAATCGAAACAAAAACAAACAAGGAATATTATGATGAATGTTTGGCTTACGTGAGGACTAGAGATAAATTTTGTAAGACCAGTTATTCACAAGATCAAGTTTTCTCTTCGTGTTAGAAAAAATTTTTAGAAATCCTGGTTATTGTACTTAACTCTGGCTAACCAATTTTAAAACTTGTATCCTTTTGAGAACTATAATAATAGAAAAACACTTTTTATAAGCAGTAAATAAGAATGTTCCAGTGACTACCTGTCCTGATACCTAGTCTTGTTAAAACTTTCTTTTGCAGGGCATTGTCATGTTTGGTTTACAGTCAGTGCAGAGTGGGCAAGTTAACAAAAAATTTGAGCTAGGGATACTGAAAAAAAGAAGGATCCAAGAATGAGAAAAATTACTTGTTTGGGGGTAAACTGAGACCCCAATAATTTTTTCCTCATGTGTATGGTGCTCCTGATGATTCATCTTGTATTTTGCCTTTCTGACACCCATCCGAACTGCTGCTCTAACGTATACTCTTTACCTTGCCCAGATCTCCGTGTAAGGAATGCTTTATGATCAACTGCCATAGGACTGATGGATTAACCAGTGTTTGGCTTTATTCGAAGTCTATGCCCTGCACAGCTCTTGTATGTATTTTAGATGCTAGGAAGTTTTTAGCATGTGATGTGTGATTCTTGTTTGAATGTGTATTACAGGTACCTTGTGAATTCCAGAACAGAGACTGTGCCTCACAATTGTTGGTCCCATGAACTCGCACTATCTTTCATGGCGATGTTTTGACAATACAATCAGGAAAAAAAACCCAACAAGTTTGGAATTTAGAAATAGAATCATATATCATGAAATTGAAAAAGAATCTCTTCTTCCCCTTTTCCTCACTCCTACATAAAAGCTACATTTAAGTAAAATGCAGATGGTAGGGAAAAAAACCCTGGCCAGAGGATAGTTTAGTGGAATAAACTGATTACTGTTTGAAAAAAAATGCTTCACCAGATATTTTCCAGTTTCTCTTTTTTACCTTTTTAAAAAATTACTTTTTAGGAACATTTGGTATAATGTGCATAAAATTATTTACTGATTTTTGGGCAAAATGATACAAGTAGCATCTTGATTGAACATCATTTACCTCAGATATTCAACCAGCAGTACATTTTTTATGCAGTCTCAACCCATATCCTATTTGTTACCTCTCAAAATATTGGTAAGCAATTATTTTAGCTTTATTCTGTATTTCTTGTCAGTGTTTTGGGCACAGGTTGTTGTACTACTGTCAAATTGTACTTGCTACTTTTTCTGCAAGTATTTAACAAAAAGCTAAAAAAAAAAAGCCCCATAAAACCCCACCTTGGATAAGTGATTGTTAAATATTGTACAAATAAAATGTATGCTAGCCCCATTCCATCCCCAAGTTAAATAAAAAAATGAATTATGGTATGATTTGCATATGCAGTTTTTCTTTAGCTGTACATTCTTCTTAAAAAGGGGAATAATAGCTTTGTAATTTATAGTGAAGTTTACACCTTGAGATTTCTAAGAATGGGGATAGTTAGTAGTGAAAGAAGGGAGGTTTGTCAACTGTGGCATTTCCCTCCTTTGTTGTCTAAGCAGATTGTATTCCCACTAAAGTATATATGTTGGTCCTGCCAGTTTTAGGAAGCCAGAGGCTAGCTGGCATTAGTTACCTTGTCTTTTCATATGGCAATAGAAAAATGTGACTTTTCATCAAAGATATAAACTACACTTCTCAATTACATAACACTAGTTTACGAATTGAATGGAAGAATTCTGGTATTTTTCATTTGGTCATCAGTAAGAATAACATCAAGGAAACTAGCTTTCATTTTCATTTTTAATATTGCAAAGGCTTTTGTTTATCCTGTGGCTTTCAAAGAAAAAGAGGGTGGAAAAGCCCCACACTGTCCCATTGAGTGTCATAGTTCACACCAATGGAGTCTCAGTTTTTTTAGGGTAAAGGTGAAGGAAGGGGCAACACTTAGGTTATGGTGGTTTGAAAGAACCTGCATTGCCTTCTAAAAAAAATGAAAATGCGAACCATGGTGGAATCTATATGGAATCTCTACAGAAAGACACAAATCATTTTCCACAGCGTGTTCTGCAAAACACTGATTCTTCAGCAAGTTAATAGTATATACTCAACACATATGGCATTATGATGAGCAAGTTTGGACCAACAGGTTTTAATTCCTCAGAGCCATTAACATGCATGTGCATATGAATTGGAGTTGTTTTTTGTTTTTTAATAAGATCCTGTTTTTGGTAGGGCATCTGGACAGACCACATGAGTAAAAACTGCACTGAAGCCTCCAACACTCTGCCTCACCTGCTTTTCAATCTGAAGAACCAAGGAGTTCATGAGTTTCTGATTGTGCTGTTAAAAGGCTATATTCCTCTTCTAGTAAATGAAGACAATATATTTAAGCCATATTTGTTTATATTACTCTTGAGAAAGTTTTTTACTAGGGCTTTGCAGATTTGATTTTTATTTTACTGATGATGATGGTTTAAGCAATTTAAGAGATGAAGTTAAAAATTCTGTAAGTACATTTTAGCATCTTTGTATTAGGGAATATGGAAAGGGAAACATCAACATTCTTCCTCTCAGAAAATGCCTTTGGGATGGAGACATATAATTCATTTGTAAGACTTCTGCTAAACTATTTTTTATAATTTGTTTTATAACTGTTTGTTTCACTAAAAATTAAAACCCACCTTGCTACTTAGTTTTTTAATCTGTATGCCTGGATGTTGATGGATCTTTTGTAGCTCTTATGTAGCCAGGGAGGCAAATGAAGGCTCTCAGCTTTTTAGTGGCATCTTAAGCTAATAAAAATTTGCAATCCTCAAGTCAGTTCTTTAGGTGCTTTTACAGTCAGTGCCTTTAAGGGAGATAGTACTTCCCTGAAAAGAGATCATAAAAATTTTTTAAAGGGACTATTTTAGCTCCAGTGTAAAAGCCTTGCTTCTGGTAATAGTGAGGCTACCATGTTAAGTATTTTGGCAAAATATCCCCTAAAAACCTATACACCATCACATAGAACCAGTATGCAAGCCTTAGCTTTAATAAGACACTGCTGAAAAGTAAATGACAGTGATCCAAAGACTCAGAAGTCAGGGAAGGAACAGCTATGTATGCAAAAGAATAGGTTGTAACTACTGAAGAACTACGTTTATGCACAGAAATCTTATATTCCATTCTACATCCGATACTTCTTAAAAACCAGATAAATCATTTCTTAGAGCACACTTGACAAAATACGTGGTAAGGAACCCATTACTGAACTTCAGGTCTTACCAAGCAGGGGCTTTGGTGTCAATCAAACCTGAGTTGAATTCCAAGGTCTGTCAATCATTTCCTACCTGTGTGATTCTGGACACTGCCACTACTGTGTTAATTTTCTTATCTGTAAATAACAGTACCTAAATATCAGGGCTTTCAGTAGTTAAAAGGATTATAAACTGCATAAGGATAGGGACTCTGTCTTTTGTAAACCTTCCATGAAAACAACAGGCAATCAAATACTCTAGAATAAATGAAGTCACTAACACTTAACAAATGCTTATTAAATTTCATATTAAACATACCTCTATTAGTTCATGGATTCCTGAATTTATAAGGTGATGCTTTGACTAACATTTCTACATTCCTCTTAGGGAATCACTTTTTGATATAAACAGGTTTAATTCAGTCAACACAACCAAACACTTCCCATTATTTGTGGGATTTCCTCAAGTGCCTGTTAAAAAAACAAATTCTGATCCTTTTGGCCTAGAATAGGCCCAAGAATCTGCATTTTTAAAAAATCCTACAAAGGATTCTTCTGTAGATGGTATTTTGAGAAGTCTGGAAGAAAATGTTCAAACTTTTGGCCTTTTTCTTCCATATGAACTATCTTCTAGCCAAACTGGTCAGTTTCCTGAACTAGAAGACCTGGGTCTGGGATAGAATCCAAAATTTCCCTGGGTACAAAAAAAAAATGCAAGGGCTAGCCCAGTGGTATAGTGGTTAAGTTTGCACGCTCTGCTTCAGAGACCTGGGGTTTGCAGGTTCAGATCCCAGGCGTGGACCCACACACTGCTCATCAAGCCACGCTGTGGCAGGTGTCCCACATATGAAGTAGAGGAAGATGGGCCTGGATGTTAGCCCAGGGCCAATCTTACTCAGCAAAAAGAAGAGGATTGGCAACAGATGTTAGCTCAGGGCTAATCTTCCTGACCAAAAAAAAAAAAAAAGGCAGCACCTCCCACTGGACCAAAAGATTACCCATTACACCTTAACCCTTACCATTGTTTCTTTACTGCTTTGTTTAAGGTTTGTAAAAACATTTGGCTGCTAGGTTGAAATGAACTCTTCAAATGTACCACATAAATACTTCACAAGTACTGAATAAGCATATGGTTCAATCCCTAAAATAGTCACATTTATTGTTTTGAACTGCTACTTACAACATAATCTAAATCCCTGGAATTATAAATCATGTAACTGCTCATGATTCAAAGGCAAGACACAGCCAAGATACTACATGTGTAACAGTCCCCCATAAATACAAAAATACATGTTTACAAATATAAAAAATGTAATAACATATCTTATTAAAGGACAATAGCTTTTAGTTCTTTAGAGAAGTATGCCTGAAACTCCATAAGCCACTGATTATATTCATAACCAGCTCAGTGAGGATGTTGCCCACTGTCTAACATCTGTAGGACAGTTGGGGTATTTCTGCAAAGCATTCATAATTTGAGTATTATCCAAAAGTAGTTTCATCAGCTGGTACTCTCTCTGTGCATTTACTGAAGTTCTTTCCATGGGCCTTATTAATTCTAATTGTTGTAAGTGTTCAAAAGCCTGCAAGATGAAAGAAATAGTTTAGGTTGAATAGGGAAAGTAAAGTAATAACATTAACCCAGAGAACAGTTAGGGTTTTGGTCAGGTGTGGAATAGAATGTCAGGAAACAAATCTTAATAGAAATCAATAGAGTTCAAAAATAATTCATCAACCTCATAAAAACTTCACATATCAGGTGAAGCAGTGTCAATATACAGTTTCCCGTCCTTGCATTGTTGAATCTAAATAGGGCAAACTTTAACTCAGTCTGCACAATATGGTTTTTGTCCCTAACCTCATTCTATATCATATCTTCTCCTAGTACTTAAGTTAACCAAGGGTTTCCAGTTCTCTATAAAAACCCAAGATCGGATAAGACCAGTACTTTGTGACTAATTACCTAGGTTACTCAAATTTGCATTTACATTTTGTTTCTACCTTTGTAAGACTTTGCTGTGTAAAAGTTTAATACAGCTGCAAAAAAAGAGGGAGGCAGGAAAGACCCCTAGGAGTACCACGCCTGTTCAGGTGATCCTATAAATAAATGATTCAGCAGATTGGTACGGGCATGGAGGAGAGAGGACAGGCTCCTGTTTGCCCAAGAAGTCTGATGGCCACAACCTGTCAGAAAGTCCCTTTCTTCCATCCTCCCCACCTTCACAGAGTTCTTTACTGTCTGCTTCCTCTTACCTCTAATATGCATGTATTATGTCTTTTCTAACCTTGATTGTTGTTTTAGGTATTTTATTAGGATATGAAAGAAAAGAAACCATGAAATACTAACCAATAAATATTGACACACTGAAAGATTCCTGAGTTCTATTTTTACAGACTCGTGAAAAATATCATTGGAATATATTCTTTATGTATCATAAAAATTCTTCTGATGAAAAGAGAAATAGCTCAAACACCATTCATTTCTGAAAATGAGAAAATACCGGAGGCTGCAGATATTGGGGCTGAATAAAGTAGAGGAAATTTAAAACATTTCTAGGCAGCAAAATACTTTCTTATTTAAAATGTAGACATGAGCAGCTGCAAATAACTCATAAGAATTTAAATGCTCAGGTAACTCTGTTCACTCATACAACTCCCACAAACTATGACTATCAGACAGATATGAATGTTAGGAAGAGGGGAAAAAACCAACCTTCGGTATGCTAAATAATTTTCCTGTTTTGAAGAAATGGTAATGCCCTGGACTCACATTTTTTGGTTGCTCCATGAAATAATATTCTGACTACTAGGGCCTATAAGGGATGCTAATGGACCTATATGGGTCCTTGCTTAAAAAAGAAAAAAAGATGTTTCTTCCCCTAAAGTCCTCTACAGCTGTACTGTCCAACAAAGCAAGCACTAGCCACATAGGACTACTGAGCATTTGAAATGTGGGACTCGATTTTAAATTTTATTTAATTTTCATTAAGTTTAATTTAAAAACTGACACTGGAGTCAATTAGCAAATTTTAAGTATTTTTGGAACAATTTCAGAATGTTAATCTACTTCTTCAGCTAAAGTTTTTATGGAATCTAAAGAGAAAGTATTTCCAGTGAATATTTAGTGAGTTAAGACGTGATTTAAGTGTTAACACACACCGAATTTCAAAGACTTAACACACAAAAAAAGGAAAATACTTTATTAATAATTTTCTATATTGATTATCGATAGAGATGTTTTTGGTATATCAGGTTAAATAAAATTTACTAAAGTTAATTTCACCTATTTAAAATTTTTTTACTTTTTTGTTGCTACTAGAAAATCTAAAATACGGCTCACATTATATTTCTAGTGGAGAATGGTACACTAGAATAAAGTTTCTCAAGTTTTAAAACTCATGCCTCACCCAACCCCTAATAAAACTTTCTCTGTATATCATTACCAGCCAGTGAGATTTTGTCCTTTAGTTTCTTAATGGTTCATATCTGCATTTTTGTTTCTTTTTACTGCTGAGATTATAAAGTCAACCCTTGGGTTGTAAAGGGATAGTTATGTATTTGATAGACTGTAATGAATAGTTCCTTTTCAGGATGCAAGTGCTAGGAACAGACAGTAGAGGGCAGTATACTTCCACAAACTAACAGAACTGGCTGCTTTCTTCAGAATTACTGTAATACACTTAGATTTTTGTCTTTTGAAAGAAAATTCCTATGATAAATACCTAATGTTTCAAAATTAATGAAAGTGCAACTATGATATATACAATCAAATTGGACATAAAAATATACCTATCTGCAGAAAAATAACAGTGAACTTAAATCTTACCTTCATGACAACAGGTTTCTCAAAATTATAAACAGAATGGGCCTTTCTTTGAACAAACTTCTGAAACTCTGGACAGAAAGCAATGACAACATTAGTACCTTCAAATAAGCAGTGGGGTAGAGTCAGAAAGAAACTACCCAAGTGTCATCTCACCATTATAGACCATTTGAAAATTAAAGGGCTCCTCTTCATAGATGTCATTTAAATGTTTCATTGCTATTATAAGACAGATTTCCAAGACTGACAGACCTATAGTTAAAGGGAGACAAACTATGAGTTATAGTTTACTTCTGATACATAAGATTGAAATAACTGTCCTCCAAACAGAATGATAAAGTGAAAGATCATGGTTTTGAGGGGTGGAGGGACGTCAAGACCTCCCCCAGGTTCAAATGTGTTTCAGTCACTATGATCTACGTAATCTCAAGCAAGTTACTCAACCTCCCTGAGCTTAGTTTTTGTATCTGCAAAATGAGGATCTTTCTAAACTTACAGAGATGTTATAAGGATTAGAGATAATATTATCAAGCATTTACCATATGGCCCACAGTAAACAAACTAAAGCTGCAATTATTCTGTAACTTTAAATCACATAGGGCCCTTGATTATTCAGAGAATCCCTAAACCCCTAGAAATTCCATCTAAATTTTTTTTCCTCAAGAGAAGAAGTTTCATTAGATTCTCAAAAGGGATAGTGAACCCAAAATGGCTAAAAGCCGATGCTCTTCAGTAGCACTTGGTGCATTGAGAACGCCTGCAATAGTTTTAGCTGGATTTCCAGTGTGGCAAGAGAGGTAGAGCATCAAGTTTCTTTCACTTTAAATGGGAATGATAATACCTTTTAAAGGGCTGAGTTAAAAGCTGTATGGATATAAAGCACTATACCCATTGTTAATTATAATTTTGAAAAGCATTCCATTATATAAACTCAGACTTACAAAAAACTACTAATCAAGCAGGTTTCTCACCATGTACAATATTTGCTTTAGAGTCCATGCTACATAGCTGGTTTGCCTCCATCAGATCTGCTGCAGTCATAAATGGATGTGATATTGTTACACGATTTAAAGCAAGCATCTAGGGAAATATGGATCAGAAAAACAATTACATATTTACTTGGGCATTTTGGAGATATTACTGAATAAAACTTCCTAATTTGGAGAGTCTATTCTTTTTTTGTGTGTGAGGAATATCAGCCCTGAGCTAACATCCATGCCAATCCTCCTCGTTTTTTTGCTGAGGAAGACCGGCCCTGAGCTAACATCTATTGCCAATCCTCCTCCTTTTTTTTCCCCTTCTTCTCCCCAAAGCCCCAGTAGATAGTTGTATGTCATAGTTGCACATCCTGTTAGTTGCTGTATGTGGGACGTGGCCTCAGCATGGCCGGACAAGCGGTGCGTTGGTGCATGCCCGGATCCATACCCGGGCTGCCAGTAGTGGAGTGCGTGCACTTAACCGCTAAGCCACGGGGCCGGCCCCTGGAGAGTCTATTCTTATGGGAGAGTAAATACTAATGCTTGGGAAAGGTATTCTCTTGTATTTATCTCTATTAAAATAATAGTATTTCATTTGACCTATAACTCTATAATGTAAACATAAAAAACATTCTTGTTGCTCTCCCTACCCCTTTCCACTTGCATATCTTGTTTATTTACAACTCCTCAAAAGAAAACATTTAAAAAGGAGTAGGGCAAGGAGAAGAGACCAAAAATAAGAATATTATTCAAAGCCAAACCAAACAAACGAAAAAGGCAGATCTGTGATTTGCATAAACTTCCCAACTACCCAATCAACTAGTCCAAAGTAAGTGTAAGTGACAGACAGAAGTTAGCTACTTTATGTTCAATTGTTAAAAAAAAAAGAAAAACCAAAGTTACACCCAGAAACAACTCTCCTTGAAAGCAGAGTCCACTTTTCATGTAGCTAGTTCTTTCTAACAACTAACATAACTCCTGTATTGAAGATTTATTTATTTTTATAACATTTAAATTTAGTCATTTAAATACAGTTAGCAGATAAAAATGCAGGACATCTGGTTAAATTTGAATTCTAGGTAAACAACCGTTTGTTAGTGTAAGTATGTACCATGTAGTATTTAGGATATATTTGTACTAGAAACTGTCTACCCCATTTTAACCAGGGCCTGGGATTTTTAGTTAAACAGAGTTTAGCAATCCTTGCCCTTCATTTCACTACAGGGAGGGAGCCAGGTACCCAGTAGCTCCTTCCCTTTCTCTTACTTTGTCTTCTTCCTTTTATTATAAAATATTTTTGACATACAGAAAGGCAAGAGAATAATATAATGAATATCCATGACCATTTCCTCAGCTTACGAAATATAATGTTTATAGAGTTGGAGCCTCTGTCTCTTCCCCTGGTTGGATTCTCTACTATTCCCTATACAAAAAAACCGTGTACGTCTTTATACTTCTACTACGTACGTATGCATTCCTAGACAATACAGAGGAATTTTCAAGTTTTATATAAATACCATATTGTACTCTCGCAACTCTCTCTTCATTGAACATCTGTTATGAGAATTTATCCATGTTGAAGTATCAATTCTAGTTTATTCACTTTTTCCTGTTGTATTGTATTCCTTTGTATATATTCAGGATTTAATTATTCTTCCCTTATTGACGTACATCTGTCATTTCCGTTTTTTGCAATTATAAACAAGGCTGCAATAAACAATCTTGTACATGTCTACATATGTATCTGAGTTTCTCTAGATACCCTAATTTGCCAAATTTCTCTCCAAAGTACTAATTCATATTTACACTACCAGCAGTGATAATTATTTTTTTTTTTGAGGAAGATCAGCCCTGAGCTAACATCCGATGCCAATCCTCCCCCGGTTTTTTTTTTTTTTGCTGAGATAGATTGACCCTGGGCTAACATCCATGCCCATCCTCCTCTACTCTATATGGGACGCCACCACAGCATGGCTTGACAAGCAGTGCGTTGGTGCGAGCCCAGGATCTGAACCTGCGAACCCCAGGCCGCGGCAGCGGAGTGCCTGCACTTAACTGCTTGTGCCACCGGGCCGGCCCCAGCAATAAATTTTAATAGTCACAGATCCCATACCATCAGACATAAAATGACAACCACCAGATTGGCAGAAAAAAAAAGGTTTAATTGTAAAGTTTAAATTGTACCATTTCTCTGGTTACTGGAGAGGTTAAATATCTTTGTATATTATAGCTCATGTGTGATTCTACATTGGTAGATTGCTTGCCCATATTCTTAACTCATTCTTTTATTGATTATTGTAGAAGCTCTTTATTATGGACAGTGCTGATGATTACACGAATTGCATATATCCTCTCTCTCAACCAGTCTTCACTTTTTCTATGGTATCTCTTGGTGTCTGGACATTTAGAAATTCAATGTAATTAACTTTATCCATCTTTTCTTTTATGCTTTGTGATTTGCATATCTTCTCTAAGAACTCTTTCCCTACCTCAAGATTACAAATATATTCTCTTATATTTTTCTTCTAAATTTTTAAAAGTTTTGTTTTTGTAAGTATATTTATGTTTCTTAACTTGGAATTGACTTTTGGGTGTGCAATGAAGGTGTTTTTTTCTATGTGTATAACTCCGGATATTTTGTTGAAAAATTACCCAAACTATAGCTAATCTCAGTCAAGTCTTTCCTTCTTCTTTATAATTTCCACCAATTCCAAAACTTTTCTTAAACAAGAAAAACCAAAACAAAAATCAAGTTATTACCTTGAATTAAAAATGTTACAGGAAACTGGCAAAACAATGACTGCTCATGTTGACAATTTTCAGGCAGGGCTATTTTCCCAGAATAATGAGAGGTGTGTGTATACGTATATATATGTGTGTGTACATGTGTGTGTGTGTATACCCTCTATATACCAAAAGTTAGTAAATAAAGTCTAATTTTGGTATATAAACAACTAAAAACCCTACTCTAAAAATTCTCAGTCCCCAAATTCTTTTATGATAAAGACAGCTGCTGGTGAAAATGGCAGTATGCTTTTGATGGAGGGATGGGAAGGGGATGTGCTAATGAGAAGGAAAGAATATAGGGAAAAAAAAGTCTTAAATTTCCTCAGCAAAAACAGAAATAGGGAAGGAGAATCTGTAAATAAACATGGCAGAACCATATAGTCAAGTAGGATATAAGCTTTAAGCCAGAGAGCCTTAGATTTGAGTCTTGTTTTGCCATCTACTAGCTGTGTGACCAGGGCAAGTTATTTAACCTCAAGGAGCCTCAGTTTCTTCAAGGTAAAGGATAAAAACACCTAAGAATAAAAAATAGGATTATTGCAAAGGTTAGACATAATAACTATATTACCTGGCTCATATGCTAGTCAATAAATGATACCCATTATTACTATGAATGAAAGTGACCAAGAAACTCATAAAACCACAAGTATTTTCTCCTTGAAAGGTATTTGCCATAGATAATTTCCTAGAAATACTAGGTTAATATTAAATACTCTCAGTGAAGGAAGAGTTTTAATTTTCAGAACAACTAAGTATCCCTTTATTGATACCGTTTAAGCTTAAGATATAATTATTTGGTGAAAGCCATGACTAGGGGGGATTTAATCCAGGAATACAAAGCTAGTTCAACATTCAAAAATCAAGCAATGTAATCCAACATATCAACAGGCTAAAGAAGAAAAATCATAGACCATATCCACTGATATAGAATAAGCATTAGATAAAATCTGACACCTATTCATAACAAACTCTCACCAAGTTGGGAATAAATAGGAATTAGCTTAACTTGATAACATGCATTAAAAAAACCTCCAGGTTACATCATACTTAATGGTAAAAGATTGAATGCTTTCCTCCCAAGACTGGGAACAAGGCAAGGATGTCCACTCTCCCCACTCTTATTCAATATGGTGCTAAGAGTTCTAGCCATCACAATAAGACAAAATAAATAAATACATGAAATGAAAAAAAAAAAAAACTCCTAGAATAAATGAGTTCAGCAAGGCCACAGAATACAACATCAACACACAAAAATCAATCACATTTCTATATACTAACAATAAGCATGCTGAAACCAAAGTTAAGAACAAAATATCATTTACAATTACTCCAAAGGAAATTAAATACTTAGGTATACACTTCAAACGTGTACAGGATCAGGGTGGTGAAAATTATAAAATGATGATGAAGAAATAAATAAAAGGAGAGCTGCACCATATTCAGGGATTGAAAGATGCAATGTAGTAAACATGTTAATTCTCCCAATATTTATTTATATGTTTAATCAATTCCCATTAGACCATCATTACCCAGTGAAAGAAAATGAATGATAAAAATAAAACTAATACAAACCAGTAACACGTGTAATGACCGCAGGTTTTTGCTGACATTGAAATGCTTCTGTAGTACTTCTCGCACACTTCTATCTTCCGAGAGACACTAGAGGAAAAAAAATCAAAACATAATTAAAGAATCATGCAATTTAAAACCTAAATATAATCGTGTGCCTCACTGGTTGGTATACTCATCAACTCTATCTGATATTTATTCATTATTAAATACATGCTGGTCTTATTTGTAGAACACAAAAATCAAAATCAAAGCTTCAATCTATTGATTTTCTTCTCATCCCTTCATGTTAATTCAGTAGACACAAAGATAAAATATAATCTTTGCTACCCTAAAATTTCTGGTCTAAAAAGGGAAACTACAGTCATACTAGTGGGATGATCAAAATGCAGCACAAAACACAACAGAGAATAAGAGTTACTATACTTGGGAAAACAAGGTAAAGTATTACAAAGAATGCTTAAACTGTATGAATCAATAGGCTAAAAAGAAGAAACAGCATTTCGGTTATAGGGAACAGCCTGAGCAATGTTGGAAGAGTGTGGCATACTGATAGAAGATGACTAGTCATGTAATCTTGAGTTTCAGTTATTGGCAAGTGATTGTACAGAAAGACAAAGGCAGGAAAACCTAATTGGAGGCAACTGCAATTGTCCATACAAGAGACAAAGAGGGTCTGAATTAACACAGTTGTATGAAGACAAGAGAGAATTAAGACATCTATAGAAGACATGTCTGATGGATGATCAACTGGTAGGAATAGGGGAGGAAGGGTTTGAGAGGGGGAAGAAAAAAGTCAGAGACGATACTATGGGGGGTAGAATGTCCCAGGAGAAGTGAATAGTGAGATATGGTCAAGAAGTGACACTTGGATTATCAATATTTAAGAAGTAGATGGAAAATAGGAACAAAGTAAGAGATTGATAAAGATACTGAAGACTGGAAGAGAATCCAAGAGAGAGCAATGAAACCAAGGGAAGAAAACTTCAAGAGGAAAGTGGTGATCAACAATGTAAACTACTTTATATAATTAAATTATGATATATTTTGAGAAGAAGCTAATGGCTTTCAAGATTCAGAGATCAACAGGGCCCTCTGAAAAAGCAGTATCTAAAAAGAGCCAAGTAACTGCAGTGAGTTAGCATCAATGAAAGGTGAGGTACACCTGGCACTAATGAAATCAGATGAAAGTGGAGTAAATTTAGAGTTGGTAGAGCCAAGAAAGCCTTGGAGAAGCTTGACATAATTTTTCAAATATCATCTGCAAGGAAGAATTCTTTTTCCTTAAAAAAAAAAAAAAAAAAAAAAAAGCCCAGAAAACTAAGTACTTCTATATTTTCTAGAGCTAAAACTTTATGTCTCTACTTCTTCCACTGTAAGAAGATCCAAATTCAGCAGTAAGTTCTAGTCTACTGGAATGAAGTTTTATGTTCTCAGTAAATATATTATCCTACTTATAGTCTCCCTTCCCTTGCTATTGTTCTTAGTTCTTTCTATTTTAAAAGACTTGCTGTTACTATACATATCTTTTTATCATATACAGGGTCGAATACCCTTCGGAAGTACACAAGATAAACATAAAATAATAAAGCAAAGTAATACAAACAAACTTTTGGGAATTAACTGTAGTCCTGGCTCCTACAATCATTGACTCTTATCAAGGCACTTACAAAGTTGATGTATTAAAATCAGAGCACTCAGAAAACTAAAGAAAATCACCTGGGATAAAAATATTAATGAAAGAAATTTTCTCTGTAAGAATTCAATTATTTTTAAAAACAATGTTTGCTTTTCTTTTACATGATGCTTCAAAGGGTTAATCTTCTATACCCTGCCTTTCTGCTTATCTCTATATTTTCAGAGGTCTAAATCCAACTCCCCTCGTTTCTGAAAGCTATCACCCTCTTGCTGTCATAATTACTTAATCTGCTTTTTTAAGAAAGTCTACAAGATCTATATGCGAACCATTTAAAAAACTCTCATTTTTAATTTCACCTTGATTCAAACACTATAAACTATATATATGTACCATATTTATATGTACCATACACATATACATCTATATATATGTACCATATAGTATATATACATATATAAACTTGAGGATAAGGCTATTATCAATAACCACTTATTGGATGCCTATTATATTCAACTAATTATGATAGTCATTGAAGATATTAGATCCTGGGTTTTGAAACATGACTGAATTTCTTATCACTCTGGATTGAAAGCTCCCTCATGGTTGGCTCAGGAAATGATGTAAGGGAAATAAGATAGAGACTAACTGACTGACATCACCCATTATAGGAACATGGGGAAAATTCCCAGAAATAAAGCAGACCTCCTCTGCTTTTCAGGGAAGCTGATACCTTTCCTTTTTACTGATGAACACATGAGTAGCAGTCACAGAAGCAAGTTCTTATTGTGCTAATTGCACCATTTGCTTGGTCATTGCCCTCTTCACAGGTATATTCTAAGCAGAATGTTACAAAATTACACAGGTAAATCTTCCTTGAACTCAATTATTGTACTTTTGGGGGAATTTCTTTTGAGGAGAATTAGCTATGGTCCTTTTAAATGCTCTTGTATACAGAGATTTCTCTTATACTGTCATACTGAGATGGTGTTTACTCTTCTTACTTACTTATTTTACCCATTTGAGGTAGGGCTAACACAAACATTCAAGTTAAGCAAGATGTCCAGGTTTAACTCTACCCTGAAGATATTTCTTGGATGAGACTCCACAGGTGACTTGTTATCTATAACACTGCTTTTGGTTTAACCTTGGAATTAGAAAAACTTGCTAGATAGTCAGCACTGAGTGAAAGGATAGCTCCCTTAATGCAGCCTCCCCAACCCCTCCTGGGCAGGGCCTCTGGCCATGGTGCTGACATAATTTTCAAGTGAAGCTCATTTATCAGCATACCAAAGGGAGGTGGCAAATGATGCTTAGGATAGGGAAAGAAAATATTAGAACTAAGAGACACAAACTCCAGTGGCATTGGTTCCATCTTATGAAAGAACCGCAAGATTGTCAAAAAGATGACAGGATAGTGCTCACATTCATTCCTACCATCTGCCCCTAAATTCAGTGATTTACAATCAGCAAAAAAGGACCAAAAACCTAAGAGTTAGCCACTCAACTACCTGGATAACTCATTTTCTGAGTTATCCAGAGTTATGCTTCACCAGTAACCCCCACCATCTATTTCCTTTATATACCCACTCTGAGATGCCCAGAATGCAATACAGCTGGAAAGGATGGGAAGATGGATGATGGCACAGTACAACCTGGATTATGCAGTCATTTTAGGAAAAGAAAAGTAAGCAGGAATAGAAATAATAAAAATCTAGGAAAGCACAGACATTTAAATACTATGAAAGACTACATTTGAATCTCTAAAGCAGTCAGAAAAACACATTGTTTTAACAAGACAATCAGTTCAGGAATTGTAGAAGGTGAGAAAGTCTGTGAGGCACTGAAAAGTGGATTCAGAAGCCAAAGATCCAGAGCTCTGATCCACTCCAGAACTAGGGAAGGGAAGGGACAACGTGGGAGCACCAACTATAAAGCGTTCCTAAAGAACGGAATCTTGACATTAGATACAACACCAAAGAAAACTTTCTTGAACTAACAAATATTTGAGTCCCAGGCAAGATTAATTTGAGGAGGAGGGTGTAAGGGAGGACCTACACCAAATTACATCATGGCACAATATCTGAATTTTAAGGATAAAGTCAGCCATTTTTACATACAATTCTGTATAGTTCCATTAGGAAAAATAATATGGAACTATCAATCAGAAATAAGTAAAAATGGTAAAACAAAAGTATGTAAGATTTGAACCCTTTATGTAAAAACATCAAGTTTAGTATGTATATAAGGTCTGAAATGCTATAAACCAAAAAATTACACTGTAGTAAAAGGAGGGGGGATGGGCATGGATAAAGGAAACTTCTACCTTTTACCACGTATTCTTCTGTACTGATTAAATTTTGTTCCATGAACTTTTTTTTTTTTTGGTGAGAAAGATTTTGCCCTGAGCTAACATCTATTGCCAATCTTCCTCTATTTTTGTATGTGGGATGCCGCCACAGTATGGCTTGACAAGTCGTGCGTAGGTCTGCGATCCGAATCTGCGAATCCTGGACTGCCGAAGCAGAGCACACGAACTTCACTACCACACCACCAGGTCAGCCCCTCAATGAACTTTTAATTAAAAAAAATGAAATATGTCAAAATTAATAGCGCTTACATGAACTGACTATATTTTATAATCCAACAAGAATCAAGTTTCAGTTTTGCAAGATGAGTAAGTTCCAGAGATGTAATGTACAGCAATGTGACTGTAGTTAACAAGAAAGTATTATATACTTGAAATTTGCTTACAGAATAGATTTTAAGTGTTCTTACCACAAAAACAAACACACAAAAAACCACGGCAGAAAATGGTAACTATGTGAGGTGATGAATACATTAAATAGGTTGATGGTGGTATTTCACAATGTATATGTATATCAAAACATCACAATATATACTTTAAACATATACAATTTGTAACTTGTAAATTATAACTCAACAAAGATGGGCAAAAAATAAGAATCATTTAAGAGCAAAATGAATGCAAAATTCTCACTTTTAATTTGGTATTGGTATTTAAGATTTTATAGTAAAAAGAACATAATCTATCTTTATTGCTTTAACATAAAACAATCTGTTTTTAGAGCCAGTGAATATAGACTGTGTAACTCTAATTATCCAGAGATCTAATCATCCTCACTCATTACTATTTAATATTATAGATTAGTTTTTCATAATTTTTTCAAAACCAAGGACTCATATTATTTTCCACTTTCACAGTACCCATTTTGAAAGATTCCACCATGTGGAATTTATTCAGCAACACTGTTTTTCAATTATGTTATTAAACACACACTTACACACATACACTCCCTCCCCCTGCCAACTGCAAGTTCTTATCAGCATAAGATAAACTGATGCTAGTATGTTGAGTTGATATAACAACGGCCTGTACAAGTTAGGCTGTTCAACTTAAGTGTAGGTCAATTTAGAGTCCACAAGGTTTAGTAAATCTTTTAAACAACATGTGAACGTGGCTTTGTAGCTAAGACTCTCGGGGCCCCAAGGACTCCAAGATGGGTTTTGCCAAGGTAGATAATATAACTAGATGTGCCACAGCCTAGATTGCCTCTTAAAAGACCCAGTAAGATAAAAGCTGAAGCTGTTTACGAGAATTGGAAAAAAAAAAATCCACGATGGATAGGCAGGTATGAACCACTAAGCTAATACATTGCTAAACTGTAAAATAAAGAAAATAAATTTTTTATGATGGAAATTCATTAATAAAATAATCTAAAATATAAACTAGATATAAATAAAACAAAATCTCATTCAAGTTCTTTTCAGAGAAAAAGTTTAGGAGAAACGACATTTCAACTGTCTTTTAAAAGAAGAAAATACACACACATAAAAGTGTATAATTTGTATTAATGCAGTTGTATGCCACAGCAATATTAGAAGCTTTGTGCAAACTTACAAATTCTAAAAATATGTAAGTTTTAATTACTTTCAAATGGTATAGCAAGGCACAAAAATTACTTCAACATTATTGCCTTTGTTCCAAGTTACCTGAACATTCTCATTCCACTTCTCAGCGAAAAGCTTGTCTGGAAATTCTGCAGGTAAAGATAATTCTTCCTTAAATATTTTAAGATACTGTGGAAAACCAAATGAATTCATTAAGTGTATCTGCCGGTGAGAAAATCGTGACTTCACTCTTTTCTCTAAGAGTTCCAAAATATCCTTAAAAACAAACAAAAATCCCTATAAGATGCATGTTAAAAAAAACCCAAAACATACCAATATTAGAGGTACATGACCTATCACCTATAATTAGCAATGCTTATTCTATAATACACAATTAAGCATTTAAAAAAATTTATACAAGCCTCTAAAAACTCAAATTATTCCCTTGATCTCTTTAGGGTAGAGGGCAGTAGAGTTAAGAAGTGTGGCTTAGAAATAAACCAAGCCGCTAAAAATAATTTTTATGCAAGCTACTTTAAATAATCCCCTTCTAAGCATTTGTAGGCCTGGTGATGTCATGCCTTTTTCCTACCATGTTATTCTCAGCTAATCTTTAACATTCCAAGACCTACAATAAATGCTAAAAAATTATAACTACTATGGAATAGTTACAAGCCACAGTAACATCAACAGTTTCAATAAGGAATTTTGTACATTCTATGAAGAATTCAGATAAAAAATTAAGATAATAAAACGTAGTAAGGCTTATTACATTCATGAAAATTTAAACACCTTCTTCATTGTTTTATGTAACAAAGACTTGAGAAGCAGCATGTGTAATGCAGAAAAATTCGGTTCACTAAACTACCTATAAATTTAAGCTGAAGCCTTGCTGGACTGAAGGAACAAAATGTAGAAGAGGGAACTGGCAGGAACACAGCACGATACTGGTAAGTTATTCTGTCTTTTGGCTTTTTTATAGTGATATTTTAGAAACTAGTTGTATTTGTGCTATTTTTCCTTAAGAAAAAGTCAGGAATCAAGTTTAGTGTCAATTTTCTATAATTAAAAAGGTTAACAACAACAAAAAAAGCTGTGGTGAGGCCCATAAATAGGGATTTTTAAATCTACCCAGATAATTTTCATAATAGCTAGGTTAAGAAACCAATGATACAGAGGAAAAAATTCAAGTGATCAAAATGGGATCATGGTTAGTTTGGGCAAGAAGACAGGAAAGATTAATAGCTTAGGGATGGAGGAGAGAGGGTGAATGAAAAATCTGGAATATTTTTATAGGTAAAAGAAAAATATAGTGTAGGCATAAAAGAATTAAAAGGAAGTTATGTTCAGAGACAGGAATATTATACATTTATTATTTTCTATTAAGGAGTGGTTCTAGAATCACCCATATAGGCAGGTGGCTGAAAAGCTAGTGGAAGCAACACTCTATGCAAGCAATAATTAAGAGCCTAAACTTGGGAATGAAAAGAAAGAAATGGAAATAGAAGATATTTTAGTGGTGGACAGTAATGACAGAAGTTGACAATGTGGGAACACAGAGAATAGTGAAAAAGAAAAAAAAAAAAAGAATTACTTCCACAGGGAAGAGGTTGTTTGCTGGCAAAGTCCCTATTCCATCTATCCCTTTGCTCTTTCCCTACAAAAATGGACACACAGGTAGACCTGAAGAACTGCACAGTTGGAGAATTATACATACAGAATAAAAAAGAGCCTCTGATAACACAGCTAAGGAGCTACTGAGCCTTTATTTGGTCCTTCACAGAGTCGATAACATTTGCCACTGCTACTTCCAGCCAAAGGAAGATTTTTTAGCAAGAAGGAAGGTGCTTCCTTAACCTCTCTGATAAACTGCTGCTTTTGGCAAGGAGGAATAAAGATATGTGAAGAACTAGCCAGATATTCTATGAGGATACATCATAAACTCTAGGGCACTGGGGAAAGAGGACAGAGAAAGCCACTCCATAGAAAAACAGCAACTGGAAGGAGAACTACTGCAAGATGACTTAGTTAGAGTTTCACTTTTCTAAAAAAGACAAAAAGCTGTAAGAAAGGAGAATAAGTAAATGGGCCTGACATAAGCCTGCCAGGAATGGAGAAGGGAAAAGAAGGATGAAAACTGCGGACGAATGGCAGCCATAGTATGAAGAGAGGTGACTTTTAAATATCAGTTTTACCTGAATTCAATAAGAAAGTTTATAATATGAGAGAAAAAGAAGGTAAACACAAAAAGGCCTGTGTAGCTGTCTCAAGGTACAGAAAGTTCAACACGGAAAGTCTTCACAAAGTAATGTGATAGTGACATTGAGACAATGGTGAAAATCATTCTAAAATCCCCCAAGGAGCAAAGAAGCCACTATCTACTGTGACAGCTTGATAGAAATAATCCCTTCCATTTCTGGAGATGTGTACTTACAAAGTTGGGACAGTATCATTTTGAGTTGATTCCAGGCATTTTCAAAATATGGAAAGAATGTTAAATGTAAAAGTAGAAACTATTAGCAATTTTATAAAATGGTGGTAAGATTATTTACCTTTCTCTTTACTTGCTAATGTAGAAGTTCTATTTATTAGCATAATCTGACTTCACATTTTTTTATTCAGTGATTCCACTGGAAGGAGGGAAGTATTAATTTATGAGCATGTGTGATAACTGTTCTCTTGTTTTCCTCAAGCTGAGTTGAAAAGTGGGATAAATGCACCAGGCATTGGTGAAACACATTTGAGAAAATGCTTAATATAATGACATACATAAGTGACTATGTCAATAATTAAGCTTTAATTTTTCTAAATATTATAATCCATTTTTTTAATGGAAAGAAAGACTTACCAATCTACACGTAAGACCAATAACTGCTATTGGAGTCTGTGCAGACTGAGAAATGTCAAACAGATTATAGAGGAGTGTTTGGTTTTTATGATGAGCAAAAAGATCAAATTCATCTAATACGAAGATCACTGGGCAACTACTAGTCCGGTCACCTAAGATAAAATAAGAGTTTTATATTAACAAGCAATTATATCAACTTAAATTTCCAAACGATTTACTATGTTTCCATTTTTAAAACTCAACTCAACAAATAGATATTGATAACCTTCTTTGGGTAGAGCACAGGCAATGCATGTACATTTATTCAACAAAAAATATTATTTACAGGACAAGATCGCCCTATTGCCTTCAACTAGTTCACAGTCTAATTCCTAGACTCTAAGAGTTTACTGATGAAAAATTAAGAAATCCATTTAAATGACTGGAAACTATTGTTTTTAAAATTATGTAAATATAATTCTTCTATCCTCAGAAAACTAACAAGGATCTTTTAACACCTACATAGACCAAAACACTTTGGGATTAAATATAAAGGGAGTCACTAATTTATGAACAAAATTATTGCTTCAAAAGAGATCTGTTTAGTTAGTGGAAATGCAAAGTATATCTTCCCATAGAAATATTTTTTATAAACTAGACTACGAAGTTCAACCAAGGCCACTTTACCTCCTTCTAACCACAATTTTAATATTTCAACCACAGGGGAAATTTCAACATGACTCTGTGGATTCATTTTTCTCATCACAACAATGGAAACTACTTTAGCAGAAGAATCGCTGTTAGGTTAAGATTTAAGATTTTATATTTGCATAAAAAAGTGAAAATAAAATCTGGTAAGGGGACACTTACTCCAACAGATAATAAAATATATACACTAACCTAAATGGCATAAAAACCACAGTGACTACTCAAAAGTCTAGAAACAGACTTACATGATACAGAAATTTAGTATTTGATAAACTATAGGGCTACATATCAATGGGGAAAAGTAGTATATAAGGTTAGATCTCCATTTTACACCTTAGCAAAATAAATTCCAGGCAAATTATGAATTATAAGTATACGTATTAGATGAAAACCTAAGTGAATGTCTTCTAAATCTGAAGGATAGAAAAAATTTTGACTATGTACAAAATTTAAGGGGCAGTCCTGGTGGCCTAGGAGTTAAGTTCATTGCATTCTGCTGTGGTAGCCTGGGTTCGGTTCCCAGGCGTGGTCCTACACCACTCATCAGTGGCCATGCTGTGGTGATGGCTCACATACAAATTAGAGGAAGACTGGCAACAGATGTTAGCTCAGGATGAATCTTCCTCAGCAAAAAAGGGGAAGATTGGCAACAGATGTTAGCTCAGGGTGAATCTGCCTCAGAAAAAAAAAAATTAACAAAAATTAAAACTTCTATTCAGCAGAAAGGTCTATACCAAATTTAAGAGAAAAAATAAGTTATAATTTATTATCTTTATAATTTTTAATTATAGTTAATTTATATTTATAAATTAGAATATATGAAAACCACAGAAATGATGATGCAGCTCAATATTTAATGACATGAAAAGATGCTCACAACATACTGTTAGTAAGTGGAAAGATGTAGATTACACAATAACATGGAAAATGGTTTTATTCTTATGTCCATCTATATCAATGACATACTGCAGGTGAATAAAGATATGAAACCAAATATTAATCGGAATAATCACTATTACAGTGGTGGGATTACATCGATCATCCTTATATTTCTTTTTTATTAGTTTTTTTGTAAAAGTTATGTATTACCCTTATAACCAGGGGAAAAATACAGCTAAACAAATCTCTTTTGATACTATTAAATATGCTAATATTTACCTTTTTGTAAAGCTTCCAGAAGAAATGAAAGGTTTTCAGCAAAGCTTCCCTAAATAACCAAAAAAAGATACCATGACTAGAAGTTTAGTAAAATAAAAAATAAAAGAGGGCTATTTGACTCTTAGACATTATATAGATATTGTGTATCTATTTTTTCTAGTAAATTATAGTCATTGGTCAGATTCTCAGCTGAATATCTCCATGCTTACCATCTAAAACTTATATTAAATATAAAAGCAGAGATGGCACAGCACTGAAAATGGCATTACTATGTCATGTTCAAAATTTTATATTTTCTGGATAAAACCTATAAAAATGTTAACTTTATTTAAAGGTAGTTTTTAAGAGTTGCTATATTCTAAATACAGTCAGAGAACTAGAAATCCATTGCACTTTGTATCTTCAAACACATCAGGCTCTTGCAAGCCTCAAATTAATTTGTACTGCTAAAAAAATGCCCATGAATTTAAGTGAGGTCCAAAGGGAAAAAGGAGAAGAAATTTGCCTCAAATACTAGATACTACAATAGTGTTTCTCTATTAAGGAGTATATCATGGAATTTGTATATATCATACAAATATCACTACGTTTACTTGGAACATATTTTTGGATACAATTTAAATATTCTAGATGGAAATTAATAAGAGTAGCAGATGCATTATCCAGATGTTCCAGTTTGTGGATAAGGGCTTTTAATTTTCATTGAAGTCATTAATTTTTACTCCATTCAGATTTTTTAATTTAAAGAAACAGCCAACTTTAAATCTGAGGAGATGTAAAGCAGAAAAGAAACCCATTTGTTTGTTTCCCAATCGAGAGAACTGACATAAAATAGCATAATAGGTTTTTAAGAACTTCCACATATTTTGTGATGATTGCATGCTGTCAAGTCAATACTATTTCCAAGGTAGGCAGGACAAGAGGTATTTACCATGATACAAACAAAGGCTCAGAGAAAATCTGTAGGGAAATCAGTGGTCAAAGTCACTCACAGGTTGCTTGTCTTTGTATTATACCTGACATTAAGACTAAGTATATACTTATATAAATATATAGCACATATATTATATGTATGTACCTATGTAAATATACATATATAGAGATATATATAAGAATATACAAATTTGCTATAAGTTTATCAAAACAGAAAGATTCCAGGTTAAGTGACTTAGGTTCTTAATGTCCAGCCTTTGTCATTTTATGACTTTAGGCAAGCTAATTATGCTCTCTGTGCCTCAAGTGCCTAATCAATATAATGTAGAAGTTAAACTAATAATCTCTATATGTGATGATTATGATAACAATAGTGATGACTAGGATGATAAACAACTGTGCCTTTTGTTATTTCCTACGAATCCATTATGAACAGGTTCATTTAGATAAGTTAGAAAAACCTATCTACATCAATTGGAAAACAAAAGCCAAACAGAGACCACATGATAGTAACTCTCCTTTACCAAGTAGGCTACTATCTTCAACATTACATTCTGAACAGAAGGTAGAACATTATATTTATAGAAGAGGCATTTTGAACCTGCAATTCAAAGACTTGCAGACAATGAAAGGGTAACACATGATTGGCTCAACGTTTTATAGATAATTATTAAAGAATGAAATTACTAAATGCTAGGATGCTTACATAACTATGGCTGTGTCACTGCAGTAGAGAGTACACAGTTTAGAGATTAGAGTCACCGCACTACATGAACACCAGTGAAGAGAAAATAAACGTGGAATGTACATAACCCACTTCAATTGCATAAGCAGTATAAGGACGAGTCATTTCATCATGAAAATTAAGGAAGCTGCAAATTAAGTTAATCATGTTTGCCTTGAGCCCTATAAATCAAGTGACAGGTAAAAAGTTTAATAAAAGTTCCAAAACAGTTCTAATCAGTTTCTTTTAAGTTACTGATGTTCACAGTCCTGAGATTCCAAGCTATTACAATAATGAGGTACGGTAAGTTCCTGAAAACATTTTATTTGATTTATTTTTTTTGGTGAGGAAGATCAGCCCTAAGCTAACATATGTTGCCAATCCTCCTCTTTTTGCTGAGGAAGATTGGCCCTGGGCTAACATCTGCGCCCATCTTCCTCTACTTTATATGTGGAACGCCTGCCACACCATGGCTTGATAAGCGGTGCATAAGCCTGCACCTGGGATTCAAACCTGCGAACCCCGGGCAGCCGAAGCAGAGCATGCGAACTTAACCACTACACCACCGGGCCAGCCCCTGACAACATTTTAATAGTAAGAGATAATTGACATTTGTAGAGTACATTACCATTCAGTTTTTTTTTTTAAACATAAATGATGCTTAATGCTTCCTTCTGTCTTTAGAATAAATCTGTGAAGTATAATAAGATAATGCCCATTTAACAGATGAGGAATCTGAAATTCAGAGGTATTCATTAGACCATGTCACCAGGCAGTCAATGGGTTGCTAAGGCAAGTTCAAATCCACCTTTTTAGCTTCAAATTCAGCACATTTTCCACTACTTCCATGCTACCCAAGTCTCAGAAGACTGGAAACAGACTGCTAGAGTATAGTATTTTTAAAAACATACTAATCTATCTCAAAGGATAGAGAATCAGAATATTTATCTTACAGATAAACAAATACAGATAATATCTACATAAACCTGGATTTCTTAGCTATATTTTAGAGCTAGTATAATCCACTCCCCCAACAATCTAAAAATAAAGATTTGATGAATAAGTGCATACTAGTACCTTACACATTTTATGATAAGAATCTTGCATATTTCAGTTGAGAATCTCTGAAACCTCCCTAGCCTTACAAAAATATAAAAATATCTATGCTATATAGACTTTACCTTGAAGCCTATTTAATAAAAGAATGGTAATGATACTTACAAAAACTTTGTCTCCAACTACATTTTCCAGATTTAACTGCCTTGTGATTTCCTTTAGGGCAATTTTATCATTGATCTGCAGCAGTCCTGAAATAAAGTCCATTTAAAAGTATTTAATTAAAATGAAATACATATTTGGAAACTGTGTGGATTATTTTTCAGTTAAGTAAATTTTCTAATGCTTTTTAAATTTAACAAGAAAGAAAAAAGTCATAGCCTGTTAGTTTACATTATTCTCTTTTTAAAACTCAGCAATGACCACACTTGGTAGACTCAAAGAACCATCTTCCTTGGGGTTAGTGTTATTTTAAAAGAAAAGAAAAAGACAAAAAAACAAGAGTCCTTATGTGCTTTCTTTATTATTATTGTTATTGTTTTAGTTTCTAAAGATATTGTGCATGGTGTGCTAAAGTAAAAGTTGTTAAACATGGATCTAGTTTTTAAAATATAATTATTAATCCAGATTTAAAACACATACAAGTGAATTTAGTCTCATAATATAAAAAGCTCACATGGCTTATATTATTTCCAATGGAAAATGATGATGTACTTACCATTTAGGTGAACTTGTAATATATTTTCACTCACTTCTTCTACTTCCATTAATTCTTTCAAAGCACGGTTTATTAACTAAATAATATTAAAAAGTTAATAAAATATTTAATAATAGGTAAAAGATGATAAGCCCATATTCTTGAATAACAGGAAGAGAATATAAACATATTGCCATTTTAAGTTAACAAATAAATTTATAGATTCTTTACAGATAAAAGGTTTAACCAGAAAATTTAATGTCTGACTCTTAAGACACCAGAGCCAAGATTGATGTCACATTCTCTCAGTCATCTACCCAAATTTCTAATAAATGTTTAGAAACAACCCTCAAGTTTTCAAAGAAATATTTCTCTACAAGTCACAGAAAACTACAGCTACTTAAAAACTTCATGTCTCAGTTCCTTACACATCTAACATTTTCCCTACTAAATATCATTGAAATCAGTTAAAAACTTGAAAAGTATGCATCAGAACAATGCTAAATGCTTGCAAAAAGTCTATCCCCAATATATCAATTGCTATGAAATACTATGAACTACTTTGTATGCTATCATGAAATGAAAATCAGAAAGGAAATACCAAGAGGTAAGGCTGAAAAAGAGATGTTCCTTCTGTCAGTTGCCAGGTATAGAGAGAAAGTCCTTATTAAAGAAACTTAGAGCTTGCAATGAAAAAAATTATTACTACTAATAATATATATATAATATTAATTACTACTAAAAATATACCCAGAGAGTATTATACTACCTTAAACTGATCAATTATAAGGGTTCACATTTTTATAATTACAGATGTCTATGCCACATATTTACATTCTTTATATTTTTTATTTGTGACATCTTATCATTCATATTACAATATCATATATCCTCATATTAATACTGCATATATTTTTTAAAATTTGAAAATGAACAGAATTAAGAAAACCCAAAAAGCTTTTTAAAAGGAAGAGCAACAATGAAGGACTATTCCTTCTAGAAGGTACTATCACAAAATAAATGGTCCAGGAAAACAGGCTGCATATAAAAAAAAAAATGAGTAAAGATGGCATCAAAATTTAGTGAGAACAAATAGGATTATTCAACAAAGACACTGGGACATCTGGTAAACTATTTTGAAAAACAAAATACTATTTGTATTTGCAATATTCTACTTCTATGTGTCAATGCAACATCTTTGTGCAATAGGAAGCAAATATGTTCATTTTAAACTATTAAGTTTCACAACAGGATATCAAAGATACTAGCTATTCCTGATATATTTGTATGGTTTTTAAAGCATGTGGAATTCTATCTCAGATCACAGGTAGTTCAGGTCTTCCTAAAAAGAGGCAACCTCAAATTATCAACAGTCATACTATGAGTAAAAGCCTAGCTGAGAAGTGACATTCTTTATAGAGAACTGTCAAAAGATGAGGTGGTACTTCCCTGCCTGTGGATCAAGTGAGACTCTATCACAAGAGTTCGTTTCCAGTTGATACAAACTCTCTCTCAAAATATTGCTTTTGCCATATTTTCTTAGGAAACTGCTATGTTCTTGCCCCCACCTCTTGTTATTTTACTTACATAATATTTATATTTTCTGGGCTCTGATTTTATGTTTTAAATCATTTTACGTTTGATGAATTGTTGAAACCCATTCTAAACACTTTGCAGAATGAAGTGGGGTTAATAATACTTTCATTTTACATATGCACAAAGAGAATTGTAACAGGTTTATAGCACTCTTTCCACTGAATTTACCTGATACACCAAGTTATGACAATTTGCCTGAATGAGCTCACAACTTTTTTATGGGGTGCGTGTGTGGTCTGAAATGATAATTTAAATGTATTAGCAAGTATGTATTCAAATAATAATCTCAGTTCCAATCTAGATATTGCTAAAATTTACTGTATAATTAGCTAGGTAAACAATCATGTAATTTAAGTGAGCTTTTTTTTCATGAATACAATGTAATCTTTTCAAATATTTTAAACTACATCATATATTAAAAAAATTTAGTTGGTTATTAATGTTGCACCAACCAGCACAGCCAATTTGGCTACTCCATTTATACATTCTTTATAGCTAAAAATTAATTTTACAAACATACTAGCATAGTTCACTTAGACCTGCCAGTATCCAGGGATTTTTATGCTCACCTACTATTACAATTCCCAAACACTTTAATAAATACAAGATTCAGCAATATGCAACTAGAAGAAACATCAACTAGAAGAAATATCCTATTTAACCATCTAGCAAGTTTCTTTGTCTACAGTAATTTCTGTATAGAAGAGAATTTTCCAAGGTCCAATCTGTCATTTCGAATCATATCTATTTTTTGAAACAAAAAGTTTGAAATACAACAAACCACACTATCTGCTATCTTTATCAATTAAATGTGGATTTTGAATTTTTGTATTTCAGATAGTTTGGCCAAGGACAGTGTTTTAAATCTACTGTAATCTTATCTTTTTATTTGAATTTACATAATTATACTAATGAGAGTTCTTGTCTAAGAATAACCTATTTTATATCTCAGGATACTCCCACAAACAACAAATTACAAAAGTGGCACAAGTTAAACAAGGCTCCTTAGTTCTTTGACCTCTTAATATTGCAGCAGGAATAAATTAAATTGTACTGAAACAGAATACCAGGTAGGGCATTCTTCCATATTACAGTGAAGTCACACTAGATAAATGACTTCAAAGCACCAGAACAAGGCTCTGGTTTAAGAAGTAACAACAACTGGATAAAGTGTCAGCGTGCCAAGAATAATCTACCCATGTAATAAACTGATAAATACTGTCTTAACAAGTGTCTCCTTCTTTAAACCTGAGTAAAGAGAAAAAAACGACATAGGAATTTATAAAAAGATGATATAACGTGAAAGAAAGGTAATGGCAAGCTGATGAGAAAGATTAATTACTACTGAAAATGTATATGTTAGAAAATAAATGTTTTGAGCTACTTAAGCTTGACTTAGGCAAACACAAAACACTGGACCCAGAAGAAACATGACAAGGGGCTAGACAAGAAGGAAGGACTGTTAGGAAATGAAAATGCAATATCATATTAGAAGAAGAAAACAAGAGAACTGACAAAGAATAAAATCACATTGGTGATATGGTAGAATGCTGAGGGAGAGGAAGAATAAGACGAAAAGAGAGAAACAAGGAGAAAGGACACATAGAAATGAGAAAGAAGGCTTAATAATGGGACACTCTAATTCTAAGAAATGACAGGAAATGAAAGAGAAGAAATACTGAAAAATAAAATTATTCTTTAGAGAAGTTCATATTAAGAGAGTTTGTATAATATCAGTTAATTTTATGTGAATAACTAATGCAGTAAGACAAGAAAAGGAAATAAAAGGTATAGATAGAGATCGGGAAGGAAGAAATAAAACTGTCTTTGTTTGCAGATGACATGATCATCTATGTAGAAAATCCCAAAGAACTGACAAATTCCTGGAACTGATAATCAATTATAGCAAGGCTGCAGGATATAAGGTAATACACAAAAGTCATTTGCTTTTCTATTTCCTTGGAATATGAAATTAAAAACATAATAACTATTCACATTAGCACCAAAAAAATTTAAGTACTTAGGTATAAATCCACCAAAATATGATAAGATCTATATGAGGAAAACCACAAAACTTTGATGAAAGACCTAAATAAATGGAGAGAAATTCCAGGTTTATGAATGTGAGGATTCAACAGTTAAGAAACCACTTCTCCTGTGATCTATAGATTCAACACAAAATCCCACAATTGAACACAAAAATTCCCAGTACTTTGTGGATAGGGACAAATTGATTCTAAAGTTAATATAGAAAGGCAAAGTACCCAGCACTGCCAAAACAACATTGAAGAAGCACAAAGTCAGAAGACTTGACACTACCCAACCTCAAGACTTACTATCACCAAGCTACAGTTATCAAGACAGTGTGATGCTGGCAAAAGAAGAGACAAATAGATCAAGGGAACAGAATAGAACTCAGAAATAGACACATACACATGCAGACAACCGATTTTGACAAAGCAGCAAAGGTAATTCAATGAAGAAAAGATAGTCTTCAACAAATGGCACTGGAACAATTGGACATTCATATGCAAAAAAATAAATCTAGACACAAACATTATATCTTTCACAAAAATTAACTCAAAATGAACCATAGATTTAACTGTAAAACGTAAAGAACTATAAAACTTCTACAAAAACACAGGAGAAAACCTAGATGATCTTGGGTTTGTTTGGTGATGAAGTTTTAGACGCAACACCAAAATCATGATCCATGAAAGAAACAGTTGATAAGTTGGACTTTTTTAAAATGAAAAACTTTTGCTCTGCCATGGACATTATTAATAGAATTAAAAGACAAACCACAGACTGGGAGAAAATATTTGCAAAACACCTATCTGATAAATCCAAAATATACAAAGCACTCTTAAAACGTACTGGAAAAGAAACAATGAAATTTAAAAACAGTCATAAAATATCTCACCAAAGATATACAGATCAAATTGCATGTGAAAAGATGGTCAATATCATACATCATTAGAGAATTGCAAATAAAAATTGCAATGGGTTACCACTATATATCTATTAGAATGGTTAAGATTATAAAAACTGACAATATCAAAAGCTGATGAGGATGCACAACAACAGAAACTCTCCTTCACTGCTGGTGAGAAAGCAAAATGGTACAGTCACTTTAGAAGACAGTTTGGCAGCTTCTTATAAAGCTAAACATAGTCTTACCATATGATCCAGCAATTGGTGCTCCTAAGTATTTACCCAATTAAGTTGAAGACTTATGACCACATAAAAACCTGCACACCAGTATTTACAGTAGCTTTATTCATACTTGCCAAAAATTAGAACCAACCAAAATGTCCTTTAATAGGTGAATGGATAAACAGTAGTACATTCATACAACGGAATATTATTCAGTGATTAAAAGAAATGAGCTGTCAAAACATGAAATGACATACAGGAACCTTAACTGCATATTGCTAAATCAAAGAAGCCAATCTACAGAAGGCTATCTATTGTACGATTAACTATATGACATTCTGAAAAAGGCAAAACTGTGGAGACAGTAAAAAGATCAGTGGTTGCCAGGGGTTAGGGGTAGGAGGATAAACAGGTAAAAACACAGGGAATTTTTAGGGTGGTGAAACTATTTTGTATGACACTGTAATAGTGGATACATGACATTATGCATTTGTTAAAACCCACAGTATTGTACAACACAAAGAGTGAACCTTAATGTAAACTATGGATTTTAGTTAACAATAACATATCAATATTGGTTCATTAATTTTAACAAACATACCACACTAAGGCAAGATGTTAATTATAGGGGAAACCATGCATGTGTGTGCGCGTGGGGGGCGGGGGGCAGTATATGGGAACTCTCTGTACTATCTGCTTAATTTTTCTGGCAAGAAATATCTATTTTAGCCAATTTACTAATGAAATGAAGTGTAGTTTTAATTTGTATTTACTAAAACATTTTTATAAGTGTTTACTAGCTCTATTTCCTTTTTTCTACACTTTCTACATGCCTTTAAGGATAAACTTCCAAGATGAAGTTTAGAATAAATTGAGTTATTAGCTACTCAAGTTGTACTTTTAGGCTTGACACTTTGAAATACAAATCATTGAGATTCAGCTTCTCTGTTACAATGCCATTTTGTTTTAAGTTGCACAGTTTACAATGGAATAATACATCTAATGTATTGATTTCCTGGATCTCATTTTCTCCTCTACTGACACAAGAATATCACTATGGACCTTTCTGAAGAATTAGTATTATCTAAAAATGTTCTTCATACATTCGTATGATGATGTGTTTTTCAAAGATAATGAAATAAGGAAAACTGGAAAAAAAAAAAGAAAGAAAATTATCCTTTACTGAAGAAAGACATAAATTCATATTAAGAGGGTTTGCAGAGTATCAGTTTTTATGGCCAACACTTAAGACACAGCCTGTGAAATTTTCACACTGTCAAGATAAAGAAATTCCACAAGCACCCAGACAGGGAAAAGTCATACACAAACTGAAAACAAGTTAGCTATGATGGTTATCAGTGACATTCACCAATATTTCTGGTTATCCTTCCTTCTAGATACCTATGAGGAAGGCATTTCCTTGCTCTCTTGAAATTAGATGCGACCATGTGACTCACTCTGGCCAGTGAACTGTGAGGAGATGTGCTCTGTATCTAGGCAGGAACTTTAAGAATACATCCATGATTCATCACGTTCCCTTCCCTTCACTGGGGTGCCTGTGGAAGAACATGCTGATATAACCTCCACCACTCCTCTTGAGTGACTACAAACAGCAGTGCCCCCTTGCTGATCCACACTGGGCACACAGCAAAAGCAAACAGTAAACTTCTGTCGCGTCAAGACACTGAGATTTGGGGTTGCAACGACTACATAATCTAGACTATCCAGGTTATAGTAATTTATAAGGGCAAAAAAAAAGCCTCTCCCTGGAGTGTTCCCACAAAACATAAATTCAATAAAATCTTTATAATTCCAAAAGGAAGAAGAATGTGACCCAAGAGTTCAACCCCAGCCATACTGTAGGTTACGTGGAAAATAATTTTTGATGTATTTAAAATATTCTTTATTTTTTTTTACATTTCCCATGTTACTAAACTTCCTTTCTCTTTCATATTTTTGTGGTCTGGATGGCTTTAGTGAACTGTTCTGTTAACCAGGTTGTTGAGTTTTTTTTTTTCCTTTGTCTTAAACCAACTTTTCATTCTTTAGTTTCTTAAATAGGTCATACAGTCATATAGTTCATGCATCAAAAAGTATAAAAACATATGTAGTGAAAAGTTTCCTACCTCTGTTCCCATTTTCCCAGGTCCTATCCCCCTCAACAAATAACTCAGTATTATTATTATTTAATATTTCAGGGAATTTTTGGTCCATATACAAACCAACAGAAATATGAACCTTTTTCTCTTCCCTTTTTTTTTTTTTTTTTTGTGAGGAGATCAGCCCTGAGCTAACATCCGCCAATCCTCCTCTTTTTTTTTTTGCTGAGGAAGACGGCCCTGGGCTAACATCTGTGCCCATCTTCCTCCACTTTATATGGGACGCCGCCACAGCATGGCTTGCCAAGCAGTGCGTCGGTGCGCGCCCGGGATCCGAACCAGCGAACCCCGGGCCGCCGCAGCGGAGCGCGTGCACTTAACCGCTTGCGCCACCGGGCCGGCCCCTCTTCCCTTTTCTTAATACCCAAATGTTTCTTTATTCTTCTTACTGTAGCATAATAGTCTATTTATGTATGGATGCACCATGATTTATTAACCAGTACCCTGCTGATGTTGTTTCTCATCTTTCACTATTAGCAAACAGTGCTGCAATGAGTAACTTTGTACATACATCATTTCTCAACCGTAAATTCCTAGAAATGTTGCTGAGTCAAAGGTATATGCATTTGTAACGTGGTTAGATTTTGTCTAACTCTAGTTGTGTCAATTTACACTACCAGCAGAAACATGCATGTCTGTTTCCACCCAAATTCACAAATTTAGGGGCCAGCCCGGTGGCATAGCAGTTAAGTTCGTGCGTTCTGCTTCAGCGGCCTCGGGTTTGCCGGTTCAGATCCTGGGCACGGACCTACTCACTGCTCATCAAGCCATGCTGAGGTAGCATCCCATACAGAAGAGCTACAACTCTACAACTATGATATACAACAACATACTGGGGCTTTGGGGAGAAAAAAGAAAAAAAAGGAAGATTGGCAATAGATGTTACCTCAGGGCCAATCTTAAAAAAAAAAAATTTCACAAATTTAGTGTGCTATCAATCTCACAGGTTTTTTGTCAACCTATTTCCCTATTTGTCAATAGAGAAAACTGCTATAGCTTTTATTTAATTTACTTATGAGTGAAACTGAACACGTTTATAAATTTAAGACTGATTCATAGTTAATTTTCTGTGACTTTTCTATGCATATCCTTTGCTCATTTTTTCTATTGTTAATAGAATTATTAATAATTTAAAATATTCTAATAGCTCAAAAGCATATTAGTCACATAGTTCTCTTGTAAAAACTACCCAAAACAGCACTGAAGTCAAACACAAAGGAAAATCATAAAAAAGAACTCAAGAATAAAGAAATAGTGGTTGTATAAAAGGACTGAGCATAAGGACTAAACCAAATTAAACACAGAGTCAAAACTAAAAAAATATTATAAATATAATTATAATTAATAAATGTGAAAAATTCTTAAAAGATTAAAAAAGAAAAGAAAGTATCGGGATCTATATTCCTAATTTATGTACTTCAAACAATACTAGAAATGGGTGATAACAGTAAAATCTTAAAGCCCTAATTTCATCATCTTTACATAATGCACAGTCAAGACATACTGCTTAAAAAAAAACATAATTTTACTTCTATTTTACATAATTTTAGTTAATACATAATAATAATACATAATTTTATTTCTACACATAATAAAAATAGTATTTTAGTGAGAAATCTAAATTTACTGCATGGAATACAGCAGAAAACAGATTTCACACAGTCCAACTATTTAAAATTAAATAGTAATTTTTTCAATGTAACACAGCCATAATTTGTCTCATATACTGAATAAAGAATGTGAAAAGAGAGAATGAGGGGAAAAAACAAGAGTATTTTTTTGCGGTAACTAAGCAAATATGATAAAGATGAAAAGTAGAAGAGAATTCTAGAAGATGTGAGTATACATATGAAAAAAATTGCTTGAGTTAGGGCTAAACAAGAAACAATAAAATAATAGGGAAAAAAAGAATGAATAGCATGATAGTTACCTCATCTATATACAGGGACAATACCTACCTTGCAGGGTTAGTGTAAAGAGTAAATGATAGAACATAGATAAAAGGCACGAGGTACATGCTCAATAAATGCTAGTTTGCTTTTTCCACTGGTAATCACTAATTCTTCAAGGACAAAAGACCATGATAGAAAAAACATGAATTAAAAATTGGTTACCGTGGGGAAAAATAAGGTAAAAAAAGATATGTTCAACTCAAATATACAGCTCAGCTTTACAAGGTTTGCATGTCTTCTGTGATTAAAAAAAAAAAGCAAAATGTTAGTAACAAAATAATGAAAAACATCTTCGGTGTTGTCTATAAGAATCATCACATGCCTACCAAAGCAAAGAAGCACCAGAAATCAACAGCTTTTACCATGGTCTTTCCTGATCCTCGGGGTCCAATAATGAGAACAGAATTACTTTCTCCATGGATAGCAGTTCTTTTTAGCAGCTCAATTAAGTGTCTGAAATGATATAAATAGGCCAAAATTTAAAAAGAAAAGCTGGAATAATGTGCTAGGTAATACTTTGTAAAAGCTGAATTTGAATATGACAGAAAACATGCATTCCTTTTCTCTCTCCCTCTGGGCACTTGACTTATGCTCTAAATAGTCCTACACAGAGGAACACAGAAGAGATGGTAGGCCAATACCGATTCTCCGGAAACCTCAAGAGGAAACCAAGCAAGTTTGAAATATCTTGGTCTTTATGATGATAAGGGACAAGGAACAACAGTGGCAACTCTTAGGACCTTTCATTCCACAGCTGGCTGTCGAGTATTAGGTGCAAGAAGCTCAGAATTCTCTCCTTAATACCAGATAACAGAAACACAACAGACTTTGAAAGTTAAAGGGCTTTCTCATTATGGAAATATTTACATCTGTTCTTGCTTCATGGTATTCAGTGTTTCTATACACAAAGCAAAATTTTTTACCACAAAAAAGTGTTCGTTAGCCTTGTTTAAGACAAAATTTGTGTATGATACTTTTTGCAAAACCTAAAGGGTGTAGGTTCATAAGGAAATATCAAGGGGATAGCTAAACTTACTTATATTGTACTTGTACTCCAAATAGGTTACTATGTGGACTCTGATGACAAAATCTTTCACGTAAAATTCTTTGTACCTGATGAAAATAAAGTGAATATAAATGAAAATATTATACATGCAATTAAAAATGAATGAGGACATTTATAGCAGAATTAGGTATTAAAGAATGAATTCAACCCTCCCTAAATAACTTGTCTTCAAGAGTTCTGGCAACATTTTCATGAGTTGTAAAATTAAGGTTATTTTTACCTATCTCAAGTCACAGAGAAAAGATGAGAATTTAGTTGTGAAGGTTTCAACAAGAGAGAGATTTACTTATTTTTAGCTACATCAGTAATTTGAGGGCTGTTTTAATGCATGTAAATGAATAAATACCTCATTTTGTATAACATGTCAGCCAAGGAACAAAGATAGAAGAGAATCTAATAATGTAATCTAATCTAGTAATGCTCATGCACCACACCTCAATCTCTGGAGACCAACACATCTAAACTGGGCTTAACTAAAGCCCTATCAATCTGCACCTGTCATAAAAGTCAGGATTCTGAGGAAATAATAGAAGTTTAAAAGTACATATAGTTATTGAGGACCTATTAGTTACAGAGAACAATACTACTAAAAGAGCGTGATCCACGCCTAAAAAACACTGCAAATACATTGGAAAGACATGACACATTAGAAGCAATCTGCAAAAAAACAGTAATTCAGCACATAAGGAAATGGTCAGTTTTATATGGAAGAAATCACATTTATCCAGGCTATAAAATAAGGAATCATTGGAATGAATTAAGAAAAAAATTCCTGTAAAGAGCTAAATTTTGAGTTCGCCTTAGAATGAAGGGCTTAGACTTAGTTGTAAAAAATTATGTCAGACAATCTAGCACATTCCTTAAAAAGATGAACCATGGGGCCGGCCTGGTGGCATAGTGGTTAAGTTCGCGTGCTCTGCTTCGGTGGCCCAGGGTTCACAGGTTCGGATCCCGGGCGTGGACCTACACACCACTTATCAAGCCATGCTGTGGCGGCATCCCACATATAAAGAACAGAGGAAGACTGGCACAGATGTTAGCTCAGGGCTAATCTTCCTCAGCAAAAAGAGGAAGATTGGCAACAGACGTTAGCTCAGGGCAAATCTTCCTCACCAAAAAAAAAAAAAATGTAGTCTGGTCAAGCCAGATAAATAGAAATGCCAGGGAAGAAATGTCATGCCCATTCCCTAATAGACTCCTTAAGAGAGAGACATATAGATATATGCTCAGCATTTGGAAAACAGCATGCACTTAAGAAAATATTAAATGTTGATGACAAAAACACTCAATATACTAGGAATATAAGGGAACTTCCTAAATCTGATAAAGGGCATGTACAAAAACCTATAGCTAACAACATACTCAATGGTGAAAGACTGAATGTATTCGCCCAATATCAAAAACCAAACATGAGTGTCTGCTCTTGCCACTTTTATTCAATATTGCAAAGAAGGTTCTAGCCAGGGCAATTAGATAAGAAAAAGAAATGAAAGACATCCAGATTGGAAAGGAAGAAGTAAAACTATCTCTATTTGCAGATGACATGATCTTACATACAGAAAATCCTAAGGAATAACTAAAAACCTATTAGAACTAATAAATGAGTTCAGCAAGGTTGCAGGATACAAGATTAATATACAAAAATCAAGTGCATTTAGATACACTAGCAAATAACAAATCAAAAATAAAATTAAGAAAATAATTCCATTTAGCATCAAAAGGCATAAAATACTTAGGAATACATTTAACAAAAAAAGTACAAACTCTGAAGATAATATTAAACTAAACTGAAATCAGACCACATTTACGAAGACATGAGTAAAGTCAGGATTCCAACTATCCAAAGACTTACAAAGCATGAAATTAAGAAGTAGCATAAGACATTCTCACCCTGAGAATGGCGAGCGATTCTTCACAAGTGCTAAGGGGAGAATTCAAGTTAAGAAGATGACTATTTCTCTGATCACCTTTGCATGGTAACAGACCTTAAGATTAATGTAAATATATACTAACCTGTGAAAGGCACTCTGAATGCATTAAGTTGTTACTCTTTGATTTACGACTGCTCATTTCGACAAAGTGAAATCCTTAAAAAAAAAAATTTAGCATGAATGTAATAGACTATTGGCTTAAACAGATTAAGAATTTACTATTATAGAATCAAAATAAACACAAGTTTTAAAATGTGAAAAATGTTTAAATTTCTCAAACTTTAAAAACTGTCAACGGTTCCTTTTTGTCTAAGTACAAGCTCATTTGACACTCCCATACCACACTTTATATGGTTCTTACAGACAACTATTCCTACCTTTCCCTTCAATCTACTATTCACCTTCTCTTCCTTGCCTTTAAAAAAAAAAAAGAACCTATGTGCTTCCTTAATGTTTCTTCCCCAATTCATCCCACAGGATAATCCCTTTTAGAAGGCCTTCACTTTCTTGCTCCACTCATCAATCATACACAGTCATTTGAGACTCTTCCGTGAATATCCATAACTGCTTGTATTTCTTTTTATCCATAATCAAATTATACTAAACAAAATTGTCTGTTTAATTGACAGTGTTCCCAAATTGAGGATATTTTAAAATTCCAAACATTTTAGCATAATGTCTAAAATAAAGGTGCAATGATAACTAGAATGAAAAATATACATACGAAAAAAATTGATAACTTTTGCAAACTTCCCTTTAGGGCAACATACTCATAGATAAACACCTTTGGCTGAAAGATCTAATTTTCTTAACACTAATTTCCTATAGGAATACTTTACTAGTCGGGTAGTAACAGTTTAAGTAGTGTTTATGTATCAGGAATTGTTACAAGTGCTTTGCATTTATTAACTCATTTAATCCTCAAAAAAATCCTATGGAATAAGTACTATTATAATCCCCCTTGAAGATCAGAACACACAGAAAGGTTAAGTAACTGACCAAAATGAAACAGCATGTGAGTGGCAGAGCCAGGATTTGATCCCAACCAAGTTATACTTGGTTAAATATAACTATTATATATATATTTATAAGTGTAAATACTTGGTTATACATAACCAAATGTTACTTACTCAACCAACTGTTTTAAAAAAGTACAAATTTCAGTAACTTGAAAGCAGATGAGCCACTGCGGCAGTATTACATTTTACATTCATATTTATTAATTTCACATACTGACAATTAGACGCCAACTCTTGGAATGCTGTCTTCTTCTTCTCTGGAAATGCTAAAAGGACAGCAGCTGAGCAAGTCCTTGACAGACAGATACCGAGCAAATCTGTCTCCCCCTTACTGTATAAGCCAGGTAGCTAAGGCTCAAACCCCAAAGGGCTTCTGGCTCTAGGCTTTCAAATTGGAAACTCAAGAACAGAGTACTCGCCTAATATCTTATCCCTTAAGAAATTTCTTTCTGAGGAGAAAAGTGGTTTTCTCAGGTGCCCAAGGGCACCTTTGTAACAGCCTTTTATGTCTACATAAGGCACCTTGCTTGAGAATCTTTACATTAATTATTTTTATTTTATTCTAGTTATTTTAATTTTTTTTCTTTAAATGAAAGTTGTGTGTGGGAAAAACCCTTCTAGCAACATGAAACGATACCCTCATTCTGGTTTAAGATACTCTTGACTGTGAAAAAGGTACACAAGCCAAAATCTGAAATCACAGTAAACCATGGAACTGCCCCCTAGACAATAAGGAAAACTGAATTTTTAAAAAGTGGAAGAAAGCTTTCAAAATATGCCTTATTTTTTAGAACTGTATTAGCTATGTCACAGTATTATTGGAATTAAAATATATTTTTCTCCATTTCATGGATTAAAAAAACACTGCTCAGAAAAGCTAAGTAAAATGTCTGAGGTCCCAGGGTAGGTGTCTAATCTGCCTCCTTGCATCAAATATAATTCAGGTAAGCTATTAAAAGCATGCATTTTTCTTCACTTGGGGATCATTCATGAAAGAAACAAACACACTACTTCAGTGCCTAACCTACATACATTTTGACTGTAAATTAAGTCTTAGTTAAAAGATTAATTTTAATACATCTTGCCCCTTCAAGTAATAGTCAAATCTCCACTCTATAACAAAGAATATTTTAAAGGACAATTCTAATTTTATAGATGAAAAGACAAGCTTCAAACTGGGAAAAAATATTTGCAAACCACGTATCTGGCAAAGAACTTACATATAAAGAATCTTCAAAACTCAACAATAAAGAAACAATCCAATTAGAAAAATGGGAAAAAGACAAACATTTCACCAAAGAAGGTATATTGATGGCAAGTAAACACATGAAAAGATGTTTAACATCATTAACCATCAGGAAAATGCAAATTAAAACCACAATGAGATAGCAATGCATATCTATGAAAACAGCTAAAATAAAAAAGAGAAAAAACACCAAATTGCTGGTGATGATGCAGAAAACTGGATTTCTCATACAACTACTGCTGAGAATATGAATTTGTACAGCCACTCTGCAGTTTCTTTCTGGCAGTTTCTTAAAAAACTAAACATACACTTACCATGCAACACAGCAATTGTACTCTTGGGTATTTATCCCAGAGAAATAAGAACTTATGTTCAAACAAAAACCTGTAACATGAATGTTCATAACAAGTTTACTTGTAATAGTCAAAAAAACTGGAAACAATACAGATGTCTTTCAACAAACCAATGGGATTAAAGAAACTCTGAAATATCCATACATACAGGGGAATATAACTGAGCAAAAAAAAGCAGTAACTATTAACACATACAACAACTTAGATGGATCTCAAAGGCATTATGCTTAGGAAAAAAAAGGCCAATCTCAAAAAATTACATATTGTATGATTCCATTTAAATACCATTCTTGAAATGAAAAACCTATAGCGACGAAGAACAGATCCCTGGTGGCTAGGAGACAGGGACAGGGTTGAGGGGTGGGTATGACTATAAAGCAGATGCATCAGGGATTTTCTTTGTAATGATGGAACAGTTCTATATCTTTATCGCGGTGGTGGTCACACAAATCAATACATGGCATCAAATCGCAGAGAATTATACAGACACACAAATGAATGCAAGTAAAAACCAATAAAAACTGAATAAGGTCTGTTGTCTAGTTAAAAGTGTTATACCAATGTCATTTTCCTGGTGTTGATATTGTGCTACAGTTACGTAAGATGTCACCCTTAAGGGAAGCTGGGTGAAGGGTTTAGAGGATCCTGTGTACTATTTTTACAACTTCTATGAGTCCATAATAATTTCAAAATAAAAAGTTTAAGAAAAAGAACTCTAATTTTATAGTTTTTTTTCAACTGCTTAATGACCAAAAAAAAGTTAATATTAGCAGTACAACTAAATCTCTATTATCCGCAGATAGATTATTAGAATAAGTTGGGTTGAATTTCTCCTCAAATTACACCAGTGGATCCTGGGTCTCCTTCCACTTTCTACCATGCTTTCTACACTATGATTTTATTTACTATTCTAAAACATTAGGACTAGACATAAAATGTAAGAAGGGCTGCATGCCTATGCATGACTAAGTGATTATTCATGTTGGTATCAAACACAAACCTAGGTGACTGCAATTATGATTACGTAGCTGCAGAAATTTTGGTAGAACCTACTATTACTTATTCATACTATTGCAAGGAGCAGTGCAATGGGTAATCCCAAGGAATGGCTTATCCTCATATCATTTCTTTAGCTTCCACACTTGCTCCATTATTGGTTTCTTTAAGATCCTTCTCTCAAATTATGTTCTGCTAGAGTGAGTAAACCTAATTTTTCAATCTCAAAGTTCCAAGTAACAGTTGGTCTATTCTATTGCCTAAAAAATGTCAACCCAATCCATTTGTCACTAGCTGCTTCTATCTCACTTCAGATCACCAATATTTCTTGACTGGAAATCTATGACAGCTTCTTTATAGGTCTCCATGCCTTGTTCCCATTTGCGATACCATTTTGACAAAAAAAAGTTCAATTCCATTTCCAATCCCCCAAATTCTGAATTTCAAATTTCCTAACATGATTTAAAAGGAAATTTCCAAAAGACTAGTTCCCAGTTTAACTCACTAGCTCCTTTGCTTAATGAACAATCAACAATTCTCTGTAGGCTGCCTCACTCTAACCTCAGGTCTTAGTTGAGATATTATTTACTCTGGAATACTTTCTGTGACACCCTTATACATTCCTACACATTGTTGAGGGTTATGTGTTCCTCAAGTCCTTTCAGGATATACGTTATTTCTCCTTTTACCTAACTTAATTAGCACACAGTGATGTAACTAACTCTGTGTTTACTTATCTGTTTGCTCCACCGGACCACAGGCTCCTTGAAAGAAGGGCTCAGAAATTATACTATCATTATATCTAAATCAACTAGTGTAATATTGGCATTCAATGGTTTTCAAAAAAGTACTTGGTAAATGAATAAATGCTAGGCAGTGGAGGATGTCCACAGATAAACTAGCTGCCAAAAAGGAGCCAGGTTAAGTTAAATTAACTGCTTAGCCTAATAAAAAAGAATAAGTTACATTTAGAATAATAAGTTAATATAGCTAAAAGGAATAAGCTAAATACAGAGCATGACATTTTATAATTCAAGTAAAATATATGCAGTATAATATTATCATGGTCCTGTCACAACAACAGAATTTCAAAATGTTTAAAATATAGTTAATTTGTTTAAGAAATTTCTTTCTTTTTTTGTTTGTGAGGAAGATCAGCCTTGAGCTAACATCCATGCCAATCCTCCTCTTTTTGCTGAGGAAGACTGGCCCTGGGCTAACATCCGTGCCCATCTTCCTCTACTTTATATGGGACGCTGCCACAGCACAGCCTGACAAGTGGTGCATCAGTGCGCGCCTGGGATTTGAACCTGGGCCGCCAGCAGTGGAGCGCGTGCACTTAACTGCAACGCCATGGGGCTGGCCCCTAGAAATTTATTTCTTTTAACAGAGAAGTCATAAGATTAACAAAAGATAAAATACACAAAAATTTCTTTTACGAATAACTGTTTTTTTTAAGATTTATTTCTTTATTTATTTTCCCCCCAAAACCCCAGTAGATAGTTGTATGTCATAGCTGCACATCCTTCTAGTTGCTGTATGTGGGATGCAGCCTCAGCATGGCTGGAGAAGCAGTGTGTCGGTGTGGGCCCGGGATCCGAACCCGGCTGCCAGCAGCGGAGCGCGCGCACTTAACTGCTAAGCCACGGGGCTGGCCCACAAATAACTTTTAAATCAACTTGCAAACCTTATAAAGCTGTAGTCTGATGATTCAAGAGAAGGTAAAGTTAACTGTCCTTAGAAAAAGAATATCAATTATTTCTATCATTTTATAATCCTGGATTGATAGCTTGCTACTCATACATTTAAAAAAAAGATTAGTAATATATTCTCCTTTTGGGAATTAGGCTAACATATTTCATATTTTATTTATACTGCCTTCAATTAAGAATTGGAAGATTAAGAGGAATGTTTAAAATGAACATTAAAATTACTAGTCAAAATCTACACTTTTACTTATTTTATTAATATATACCAGTACTCCAATCAGCCTCCGTTTCTTGACTTATAATTTTGCCCTGATTTGGAATACTCTTCCTACTCATTTCAAACCTGCAGTCACTGGATGCCAGTTTTAGCATATCTGAAAAATTTGGCAAGACTGACTTTAAATCTATTACTAAACATATGAAAAAGTAGGGTTCAAAGGTTTTCATTTTTGAAATTAAACCAGAAAAAGCAAAGGCAAAGGAAATGAAGGTACTAGAATTTTTCCAGAAATTTTAATTTTTTCTTAGAAAGTAAGTCACAAGTGATGAAATAAAAGAAATATTTGAGGACAACTATTCAAATCAGAACTGTAAGCAAGAAGTACAGAAAAAGACCACTTGTATATAAAATTTAAGATAAATGCAAATATACCAAAACTCATGGCACACAGCTAAAGCAATGCTAAGGAAGAAATTTACAGCTATCAACTCTTTAAATTTAAAAACAAGAAAGATCTCAAATCAACAATCTAATTTTACAACCTAAGGAACTACAAAAAAGAAGAACAAATTAAACCTAAAGCTAGCAGATGGAAGGAAATATTAAAGATTAGAGCAGAGATAAACAAATAGAGAACAGGAAAACAAGAGGGAGAATCAATGAAACCAAAAGTTGGGTCTTTGAAAAGATCAACAAAATTGACGAATTTTTAGCGAGATGGACCAAGAAAAAAAAGAGGAGATTCAAATGAATAAAATTAGAAGCAAAAGTGGGGACCTCACTACTGATTCTACAGAATTAAAAAAGGATTCTAAGAGTACTGTGAACTATATGCCAACAAATTGCATAACACAG